ATAATAATAATAATAACGCACACACTAAACATAGCCCGGACTAGGGAAACCCTGTGTCCCGGGTGCCATGGACACACACATAGACAACCACAAATTACACCCAAACTCACTGCACTGCATTTAGAACTGTCTATTAAAAATACAAACAAGAGATATATTTTAAAGCTTTTCATTTTAATACAATATAGGTAATCAAATCCACCTGTTCTTATTTAAATGTATATGAATAAATATTGGTTTAGATGATAGTAGGAAAACTGTCAAAATAAGAATAAAGAAGGCAATAACGCAATTAGTAATCATAAGAACGTCGTAACATTCATAATTCAGATTATTTTATTATTTATTATTTTACCTTTCGAGTTCTTATGTTTTCGCTATTGTTATACAAAGGAGAGAAACTATTCTTTGGGATTTAAATTGCGTATATTTGTTTTTTCAAAGAAACCAACGTTTTGGGCCCTTTATAGGTCCCATGGTCACGGTTGACTGACATGTTACCTTTTTGCACAATCTATCGATAAAAATGTCGACAACAACCACCTTACTATTAAATTTTTTATGACAACTGACAACCCTACAAATGTAATTTTACTTCGTCTTCAAAAAAGACAGACTAACTACTGATTACTAAATGTTTTATTGTTAAATAAATATAGCAAATCTGTTTAAAGCTTTAATATAAAGAAAGTGTGCACAAACTACCTCCGTGGCCGAACTAATATTTAAGGTTCGTCTTATACTGTTTATTTTAATATTATCATAGTCTCCTTAAGATTTGTTTTACCTGTATTAGATTAAGTTACAATGAAATGAATTTATGTTATCTCATCTCATTTCACCTTATCTCATCTAAGTTTATCTTATCTTAAATGCAACTATTTATTTATATATTTACATTGAATTGGAATACAATTTGTAGCATTTAAAATAATGTACTCGTCCCATATTTACCTTGGTCCAAGGACAGCTATGAATTCATCTTTTTTTATACATCCTGAAACTAAACCATATTTTGAGTTTGCAGAAATTTTGAATACAGGTAACTAAAAAGAAATGCCAGTTGTACCATTATTTAATATGACCCTTTTCGGTTTACTAATCTTTCGTGTCCACCACGATTTTTCCTCTGCTGTCCACACTTTGAGATTCCTAATTTCAATTATATTGTTCTCTTTGTGATCATTGATTCCCTTTATCTGTAAGATAATTAGTTATAAAGTAAACTCTAAAGTACAATCTGGTTATGCAAACTTCATTCAAAATACTCGATAAAAACGAGTAGGTATTCATAAGCGAAACAATTTTTTTGGACCTACATTTTTTGGCACTTTACAGGTCCCATTGTCAAGGCTGACTAATGGCTCATTTGGTGCTGCATTGACGTAATTGTAATTTTGGCAAAATGTAATTAAGTATCTTAACACAAAGCGAGCATATATTTCAGGAGGTAAGGTGGGGAAGTCGCCCCCCGCGACCCGCAATCCTCGAACTTTTTTTTAAAATATCAAGTAATGGGACGAACAAGTGGCGCATGCTACATGCCTGCCCATTATATTTGCAGTGCCACTCAGAGCTTTAAATCGCAAAGATATGACTGATCGCACTGTCACTGTGCCCGTCACCTTGAGACATAAGTTGACAAGTCCCTGTATTTTCACCAGCACCCTTATCCTTCAAAACCGGACACAGTAATGCTGACATTACTGCTTGACGGCAGCAATAGGTAAGGTGGCAGTACTTCCCTGGAGGAACTCTTTCACAAGGAGCTCTACTGCTACTAATCAATTATTACAAAAAAAAAATAAAAAAAGGCGGCGAAAAATTTACCGAGATAAATGTGAATTTAACAAATAATAGGGTTTCAGTTGAAAACCAAAATTTAGCAAGTTCGCTGTAATACTTAAAGATAAAATATCTTTATATAAAAATTACATGCAAAGTTACATATTTTGTTCTTTTATTTTGTTCATATTTTGTGTAAATAATTCCTTTTACACTTTTATTGCTGTTTTCACATTTCCCTAAAATACTGATGTTTATGATACAAAAGTATGGATCTTAGAATTGCGTATGTGTTACATATGTTTAACTTCAATATAGACCTCTGAATATTTGTCACAATACGGACATGGCCATTAGGAACTTGATTCCACTTATCCATAAAGATTTGTCAGAGAACTGGTATAAGGTTATTCAGTGGCAAAAAAGGTCTACAAAAAACATTAATTAATCTCTTGTTTGAGACATGAAAATTACTTAAGTCGCCTTGTAAGTACTGAATTGGTTTATGGTTATTCATTAATTTATAATAGTAAAATTATTTCTGTATTCCGCGATACAAGTTTAAAGGGTAAATAAAACGATAAAGGTTAAATAACGCGATAAAACTTTCCAAACTTCTTTCAATAATACTTTAAAAACAAAGTCAAAACTTATAAATTAAAAACATTGACTTAATAAAAAAGTATTATTTATCAAAATCGAAGGTAAAATTGTCAAATCAATAAATAATAAGACCATTTATATGTAAACGGAGTTCAAGACAGAATTAATATTTTCATTTATTTATTTATCTAAAAGGAAGATCAACAGCTTACAACTAAATAAAAATAAACCGAAATCACACTCGCATTGGAAAAAAAACAGATCAAAAGTATTACACAGTATGTTATAATTATTGCTTGCTTGCTTCTTTCTTAGAAACTTCCGTACCGTATGAGCAATTATAAAAAGCAAGACGATAATTTGTCTATGTATCAAATTTAGAGTCATAAATGTAAAAAATAAAACATTCCCCGTGACAAAAACAAATGAAAAACATACCTCACTCATCTCCATTTTGTCATAAATTCCAAAACAAAACCGTTTCGACCAATCATTGCATAGTAACTGATGGCGTAGTCGCTATCTGTCTCACTGGAGGTACAAGATTAAAGAAACGCTTAGCAAATAAGAAAATAATTGTTTAGTGATAAGGTGAAGTATAAAGTTTTCTTGTTTGTACTATGCAATTGTGTAAGTTTAACACGTTAAAAGATACATATTTACTAATATGTCGTGTATATATCGTGCTCAAGAAGAACGCTATCGGCCATAATCGGTAATCTTCGGATTTGCAGAGCGAGTTTCATTAGGTTCTATTTACATTACCGCAGAAAGAATACACGCAAATTGTTTAGAAAGAATTTGTACATAGTATAATGAACATTATAGATATTAAGGCTTTCATTGTTATTCACTACATGATTATCACTACTTAAAACTACAGAGTTCATAGACCGGGGTTCTTTTTATTTTCCCCGATATTTCGGAACGGTTACACGATCCATGATCACGGGTTGTCTGGCCAGCGGCAGGTGGCAGTTTTAAGAACAGACAATATCTGTCTACCCTCTTTCGCTGTCAACGACTACCTTCAACTCTATTACTGGTGGTGTTACCATTGTTACTCAATTTTTCTGACAAACCACACTCACTGTATCCACACGCGATACTGAAGTCGAAGCATTTTTATTTTTATTATTGTAAGCACTAAGCACCGGATTCCAAATAAAAAGAACTGTATAATAATTATATAACTACGGTAATTTCCGAGACTGCGCGACAACTCTCCGGTAGACGGGCGACCAGGGCCCCAAGTCCCCTAACTTCAAATCATCTCAGTTGTATGTCCAAAGAGTGTCAATGGCAGGTTATGTACGTTTGGTATTCTGCTGAAAGTTAAGAGGTATTCTGCTAAAAGTTAAGATGTATTCTGCTAAAAGTTATTCTGCTAAAAGGCTTGTCTGTGGCTAATTCTCGAGATTTGTTCAACTTCCATTGCAATTGTTTTGTATTTTGCTCTTCAATGGCGAGTTGTAGATACGTCAATACCATAGTCTATTAATTCTTTGACATAAAGAAAATACACTTAATTTGAAGACTAAATTGCTGTTTAAACGAGACAAAATATGCACATTTACATGGTAGTTATAATAAAGCAACAGATCTTTAATGAATATTTGAATAAATGCCATCACTGCTGTTCCTCTGACACTCTAATGAGACTCAACTGCTGTTGCAACTAGATTTTAGCAGAATAACAAACAGTGAAGACTCAATGACCAGTGGCTTCAAACAAAAAACTTGAATTGGGGCCCAGTTTTTTGGCTTTGTACGTTATACAATAGACATAAAGTTCAATAATGGTTACAAAAAGTCACTTCCATTCCATTCCGCGGCAGTGTAAATTAAACCTTAAGGAAGGTGATAACGACTAAACAAATTAGCGATTAAAATGTCACACACAAGTATGAGTGACAAAGTCGACGCTCTATAAAACGAGATCAGCCGATCGTCTTCTTCTAAAGCTCGATATATAATGTATTCGACACGCATGATCTTGTAAACAATATAACGAATGCGAATGATTTCGATATTCGACTCGTTAGTAATTATTAATCCTGTCATACGAATGACAAATTGGTACTCTACTATAATTTTCGTACTTGAATGATCGTTCATTACTAATCTACAGATCCCATAAAGCATTTCTGGCTACCCTTCTCTAATATAATAGTAAATACCGTAAATGTGACAAGGACACAGATATTTTGATATGGACATGATGAATGGTTCGGAATTGTTCCGACATAATAATCATTCGATTCCGGCAGTTGTAGCAGTAGAGCTCCTTCTGAAAGAGTTCGTCCAGGGAAGTACAGCCATCTATGTCTGCCGCCAAGCAGTATGTCAGCATTTCGATGTTCCGGTTTTGAAGTGTACGGGTACTGGTCAAATTACAGGCACATGGGACTTGTCAACTTATGTCTCAGGGTGATGGGTGTAGTGGCAGTGCGCCTCAGATCTTTGCGATTCAAAAAGCTGACTAGCACTGCAACTGTTATGAACAGGCAAGCTACACGCTTACCATCAGGCGCACGACTTGTTCGTCCCGTGACTTGAAAAAAAGAATGATTTGCCCATTCGATTAGTATTAGTAAAATTCAAAGTCGCGCATCGCTAAAACAATGTCTTCGACACAAAACCTCGCTGCTAAATGCTTATAATATTCAAATGCTATAAATGTGGCAAAGTACCACAGCAATAAGTCGGTTTATATATTCTCTTCTGTACCATTAAAGTGAAAGCTACGTCTCTATTTCTCATTCTCCAATTCTCGTAAACTGTAATATTTTCTTGATGTAATAATATCGCATTATCAATGTGTGCCATCGAGTATATAACCAGAAATAGAGACGAAATAAGAGCCATCCGTCCCTGGCAACTCATCAGGCAAATGAGCTTTATATCACTTTTAAATATCAACTCTCATTTGCGCTGAAATCACAAATTAGAAAGCTGAAATGGTACCGCGCCAACAACTGACCTGTGTGTACGTCACCGATTTTATTCAAAACATACCTAATCAATAAACACAACACATAAATCATGAGCAGTAAAGTAAGATTTGATTTATAGATGAATTTTAAAGCATCGTTGTCAAAATAATTTGTTAAAAATTGAATTATATTAACATCATTCCATATCAAATATATTGTATCCACTGTATTGATGTTTCGTTTTTAAATGACAACATATGCAATATTTACATCTACCGTGAGATTCCGAAAATACCAAAAGCTGTTTGCGACCGACTTCCGCTATATTTTTTTGAAATATCTTTACTATGACAATTTTCTTCAGCGCACTACATGTATATTCACTCTCTATCTAACATATAAATGATCTTTGTTCTTTAGTTATTTTGTATATATTTGGCATAGCGCACACTTGTACTAACTACACGTGTGGAAATTTTACAGTAGAGCAATTTGGAAGATTTACTTCGAATTTCAGAAACAACTTGCTATGTATGATTGATTTATAAATGTGTAACTAGTAGTAATTTACTTTATAACTCAATGGCTCTTACATTAAGCTTGTAGAATTATCGGTCAATTAAGATGAAAGCCAAATTTGAGTAAACATGTGTAGCGCTTAATACTTTAGGTAATTAAAAATTATCCAATAGTATGCAATTATTGATTTTAGAATAATAACGCATAGAAACCTAGTCCGCACACGCTAAGTGAGGCAAATTGAAGCGCTAAAACTAACGAAATGTGCGGTAAATGAGTGTAAAAATACGTCAGACAAACAAAATAGACACTAACATCACATATTCACTAAAACCGAAAATTAACCTACTACTAAAACTAGCCTACATGAATTTGATTTTTGCCTCATTTGTGACAGTTCGTTTCATATGAAACTATCATTCTATGCGTTATTATTCTAAGTTATTAATTATATTTGTGCACGTAACACTCAAATACTACATAATTTTATCTGGATATAAAATCAGTTAATTTAAACACGTAAGCAGTAAACAATTCCCTAAAAAAATTAGAGCATTTCAATTGTTGGAGTCCTGTTTTGAGCTCAGTTAATTTATTTGGCGTGAACTTTTTACAAGAAAGAGACAACATATTGAAGTTCTGATGAATGGGAACAATGCAGGGTGACATTTAATACTTGGCATCGACAAAAAAAATTAGAAATTTTGCCCTTAGTGCAGGTGTGCGCTAGACCATCCATATAGTATAGTAAGTATTCGAGAGACGCTGAAGTTTACTTAATATGAAATAAAAGACGATCATACCTACTTTTTCTTTTTAATATTCCTGCAAGAGACGTCAATACACATTTGTTAAAAAGGTTCTTTAGCCTGTTAAAAAAGTAGTTGCTCATTTTGCTTTTTTTCCGACATAATTTTCCATGCATAACGAAACGCATTAGACAAAAGAGTGTAACTAATTTTGAAAAAAGAACAAGCAGCGAACACGTCGCGATAGTGGCCAGTATCATTTTTTAATTCGCAATAGTCAAAAGAGATTTTCAGCCGTCATTTGCATGTGCTATGAACAAGACTAAATTTCTCACACATAGACATTGACTTACAATTATATGGACGTCGGGTCCGCGCTAAAAAGTGTCCGCACTTGTAAGGCGCTAAAATCGTATACAGAGCGCCAAACTCCGTTTTAGTCTTCATTTGTTCGACTGACAGCGCGATATTGCGATGACATTACAATTTAAATTTCGAATAGGTTGACTTGGGACATTTTTTTCGTGGTTTTTTGTATTAGACCCGTCGTCCATTTATTTGTAAGTCAATGCACATAGAGATAATTTAATTAAGAATCACAGTCCCAGGCTAAGCCGTAGTCCCATCGCCATTGCTTTTGTTAATGTCAATACCATAAATATAATATCTATGGTCAATACACACTACAACGTGAAGGTATGTCATTATCACTTATAGCAAGATCAATACAATTCCATAATATAATATAATTCCAAATAAAACGACTCAAATTCTCACTAAATATTTTTATTACTTTTATAGTAACATCTATCACACGCGCATACAATAAGTAATACTTAATAAACCAGTACCATACACTAACGTTACGTATAATAAATGACAATAGCCAGATGGCACTAAACAACTCCCTTACAAGTCTACATATATAAAATATATCAACTTTTCATGAACTTAAACATTATAGTCATTATTTAATCTACGTAAACAATAATATTAAATTCGACGACAATAGGCACTTTGTAATGTCACTTTAGTTGCAAACTGTCTGAAAAAAGTAGAGAGTTAACAAGATTTCAAAATTAGAATCAACAGTAATTCGTTGTTAGCAGCAAATAACGAACGCTGCTTGTTCAACGCGATCTTCGGCCTTTGTGAGTGACGAACTTTGATTGGTCAGCAAGCGCAAGATTTACTTCCGCCATCACGTGAATTTTCGCCATTTGCAATCTTGTGATCCAGCGCGAATTTCTCGGCGTCCTTACCGTCGTTGCTTTGAAGTAGTTTGTCGTTTAGAAGAATCTGGAATAGAAAGCCATTGTAATTAATTTATTCAGTCACCATGGTAAATCACATCAAAAGACCACGGTCTTTATCATAATGATTTAAGGAACGAAAATAATTTAAAAACAAAAAAATTAACAATTGATGGAAATCTATTTCATGGATGCCATACTAAATATAGAGATCAAGAAGAAAGTCAAATCGCCTTACATACGCTAGATGCAGATTAGTTACTGATAGCAAACAGAGTTAGGCTGGTCGCTTCAGAAGATTAGGTAACAATCATTAGGGCAACAGCCATGAAAAGGACAGTTTCCCGTTGGTCAGATTGATGGTCAGACTGGTCTGATTAAATGGGATATTTTGTCTCTTACTGATTACATAGAACAATGTATAATCAGGGCCAAAATATTTTTGCATTTTATTATTTACTCTACTTCCTAAATTCATACGAAAAATCAAAACCGTATTTGGCCGATAAGATGGTTGAATGATTGTTTTTTATAATATCAAGTAACGGGACGAACAAGTGCGCCTGATGGTAAGCTACATGCCTGTCCATAACAGTTGCAGTGGTACTCAGCTCTTTAAAACTCAAAGATCTGAGGTGCACTGCCACTGCGCCCGTCACCATGAGACGAAAGTCAAGGACAAGTCCCATGTGTCTGTAATTTCCTTACTGGCGGCCTACTATGAGCTTATAAGCAGCCAGTCAAGTTACATGCAATTCCCTTGAGACGTGGTAAAACTGATCTATGATTCGTATCATGACCTACACAAAGTTGAACGGGATGGCATGACAGGATGATGAATTTTACTTTTTAAACGTTAATTATTGTCTCTGGCTGTCTAGTTGACATCTAACAAGAGCGAGATGGAACTACATGCTAAATCATATGAAAGAAATAGACAGATGTACTATCCTGGAAGCGTTCAAGCATTATTAACCGATTGTGTTCAAAATGAGAATAATTATATTTTTTTAGTAATTTTATTATTGATTATACTTATTACGGTGTTTTGTAATATCGGCAACTTTTCAGTAATACTTTACAATTTGTCGTACGACTAAATTACATGTCATGTCTAGTCACTATCATTCAAATCAATAAGGTGAGTTTGTAATTTGATAACATTACAAACTCAATCACAATTGGAACGTATCTTGTATTTGTACATTATCATTGATTGCATTAAAATCAAATTTGGCACTATTTAGAAGTGATTTTACGATTTTAATGATTAAAATTCAATTTAACAATTACAATAACAATCATTCCAATATTTATCAACAATACTTTAAAGATTGGGAACTCGATTAAAAATTTTCAAAAAACGCTCAATAGTTAATAGTATTTATTTATTGACAATTGGCTATATAGCTTATAAAGATAACAAATAATTATAAAACTGAAAATATAATAAAACTTAATGAAATTTCTTAAAAATATAACAAAACCTAAAAAATGTTAGTCACGTAGTAATTTTTTCTAATTGTTGATTGTTACAGATGAGACCGCCATTTGCATGACAAATGGCACGTAATGATACGATTTTCCTGTGAAAGAAAAGGTGAACGGATTTCGAATGGGGAACGTAAACTGCATGGACAGTGAATTGTTTTTGTGAGGTCATAGTACGAATTTGACAGGCATTCCAACTTACTGGCTTAAATATGATTGCTCTAAGAGCTCATACTAGGCCCCCTGACCGGTGTAAGGAAGTATCTTAGAGGAAGTATGTATTGCTACAAATTAAAAAAACTTCTTACCGACCATGGCTGTGATGGAAAGAAAAAAGGGCCGAAGGTTTTATTTGCCACCATGCAATCGAATTATTTACGAGCAAGTGATGTAAAAGGAGTCATCAAGGTATTGTATATGATGTTCGTAATAAAGTCCTCTAATGTTATTAGTATTTTTCCAAATAACCCTATACACACCGAGTCGATGCAAAAGGTAACTAACAGAATTCTGACGACACCCGAAAACCGAAGGTTGCCGAGAGTTATTGCCTATGTGCAATTACAGGAAATAACTTATATTTAGAGAAGTTGTCCACATAACTCTTAGAATTCCGCACATCATCACGTTACGTATTATTTCGGAACACCATCATGATAAAAAAAGACGACGAAGTTACGTTAGAACTGGTTTTGTGATGGATGTAATTTATTCAATGAAGATACTCTCTACTCGCTTTGGTGCGTTCAGTTCGTTCGGTGCGTATAACATACGCCCATGATCTAAACTACCAAGTTCCTTTTTATCTATTAAATATAATTTATGACACCAAAATTTCTGTTAAATAATTATAACTATTTTATAAAAAAAACCGACTTCAAAACTTTGTGGAATTACATCAATTTGCCAAGTTTTATTAAAATCGCTTAACGAAAACCGAATGAAATCCATTGAACCGGATCAACTTTGCTACTCCTGGTGGTGAAATCTTTAAGTTTGAATGGCTCCACTACTGAGGTATACCATTTGTAACAAAATAACAATAATAGAAATTAGTTCACTCAATATATCCGAGTAATCGCGTAACAACAAAAAACCAGTCGAATTGAGAAACTCCTCCTTTTCAAATTAATTAATGATAAATGATAGTTCTACAGACAAAAAACGATAAAAAAAAGTAACTTTTTTTGTAATTTCATGGGTTTGCCGAGCATTGCGTGTTTCATCAAAATTGTGAAAAAAAAAGATCAAATCACTTTAATTTAGATTTCATTGTTCAATGTACATACTAACCTTCTTTAAATTACTTAAAAATCAAGTCGGCACGGGTATACCTGCGACGCCATGTCTTAACGAGCCCTAATTTGTAAATCTTCCAAAAAAGTTTGTATTTAAAATATCGTACTTCCTCAATAAAACATATTATTAAAAAAAAAATTATATCAATAATGTTGCTTAAGACATCCAACCATAATATAACAAAACAAGTAGTATATAGTATAACTTGTCACATTAATATTTTCATTGTACCCGCAGATTGCAGAACACCATTTGAAAAAAACCTCACAGTATTCTTGAGCTACATTCAAATAATGTGTAAATTGAATGCATTTCAACTACTTACATATTGATATTATTATTCCAGCATCGCGGATTACTATCTCGACTATGAGAGTATGAAATAGAAGTGCGAGTTTGTTTAAACATAACGATACATTATTAATGTATCGTAATTTCGACAGCTCGGTAATTTGACCTATGGCTCAATTGGTAAAAGCAATGCTACGGTGCTGCATGGTCGTGGGTTTAAGGCCCACCGGGTCGAAGAAATTTTTCTATGTGTTCGATCTTTACATTAATAATCATAAATATTATGGGAGGTCATGCGAATGTGTGCATCCGTACAAGGCGCGCGGCCGCCGCGCTGCTAAAGTTGTATGAAGTTACACTACTTGTGTTATTATCCTATATATAACATTGCTGGTTTATTGTACCCAATAATGGCGAATATGGCCACTCTTCCAATGAAGAATATAGAAAGTAAAGATCTTACCTTATTAACTAATGAGCGCGCTGCCTCCTCGATGTTGATATTTTCCTTCGCTGAAGTTTCGAACCAGCCAGCGAAACCTTTCTCCCTGCAATACTCGTCCATCTTGGCTGGCGAGTTAACTAAACCTTCCTTTTGTTGATCGCACTGAAACAAGAGCTCAATCATTTCACTCTAACCTATTTCTCTCAAGGAGAGCTACATTTTATTCTTGGAATACCAAGAATAAATGTAGCTCTCCTTCAGAGATACCATGTGGACAGAATAATAATTTATGCTGGTAAGGATTAAGGGGGCCCACAAACGCTACGAAAAATTATTACGATCAGATGGCACCGTTTGATCGGTGTCGACTGATCGTAACGTGTGTATAAGAAAACTGTATAGTTTTATACGATTTTATAGTTTTATAATGGAACAGTGTTAAAATTTGAATAGACAAATCGGACCCGGATGAACTGTGCGATTATGGTTGTCGTGTGTGTTGCTGGCGTCGGTCTTTGCGTCGATTTTATCAACAACCGCTCAAAAATCGTCTCTCACCATCACGGAACCGAATGAAATGAAAATCTCATGTATGTGTGGACATGAATGTGCAATAAACCGCACCGATCAAACCGATACCTCCAATAACCACTACGCCAACGGTTCATTTTTTGGTCAGATTGTTGTTTTTGTAAACGGCCATATTTATTTACTCATATTATGCTCCCCGAATTTTGTGAATAAAAAGAAATAAAAAACAAATTTCGAAAAAAAAAAGATCGAAGAAACAAAAAACAAAGTAATCGTATCGATTTTTCGTAGCGTTTGCAGGCCCCGTAGTTAAAAAAGAACACATTCCAAAAATTTGGCTCAAATCGAGCTGAAAAAAAAATAAAAGAAAGGTTTACGAACCTTATTAGCCAAAAGTATGCAAGGTATAGGCGACCCATCAGGCAGTTGGACCTTCGTATCGAGATCGTTTTTCCACTTGACCACAGCATCAAAGGTTGCTACCCTGGACACGTCGAACACAATAAATGCACCAACTGCCTCCTTGTAGTACACACGGGTCATATTTCCGAAACGTTCTTGACCTGAGAGAGAGAATTCAATTTGGAAAAAAAATCAAAACAGAATATACTAAGCTAACCTAATCTAAGGTTCAATTTAATATATAAAATAAATAAATAAATAAATGTCAACCGTGACCATGGGACCTGTAAAGGGCCCGAAACGTCGGTTTGTTTGAAAAAACAAATATACGCGATTTAAATCCGGAAAAATAGTTTCATTTCCTATAAATAAATAAATTTACTGAATAGAAGCAAATTTTTGTAAAGAAATTGTACGTAGCATAATGAACTTTATTAGCAGCGGGAATTCCCAAGCAGTGCTGCTCAAAGCATGAAATCGCAAAGATTTGAGGAACACCGCCATTGAGCCCATCACGTCACCCTGAGATATAAGTTGACAAGTCCTATGTGCCTGTAATTTCACCAGCACCCTTCAAAACCGGAACACATTAATGGTCATATTACTGCTTGGCGGCAGAAATAGGTAAGGTGGCAGTACTCCCTTGGACGAACTCTTTCACAATTATACTGCTAGTAAAAGTAGTTTAATACAAAAAGTAGCTTCCATTCCGTTCAATGCAAGTTAAGCCGAACCTGGGGAGATCTCATAATCCATTTCCATGATCACAAATAACGAATATCATGATAATACCAATAATAAAATATATAATGCACAACAACGCAAACACATTTAAGCACGTTTTATCGGCATCGTCCATAGTGTTTTTCATATTATTGTATAAGTTAACCACGTAACGGAAAATTGAAAATAAAAGACTAAAAATACTTTAACGCTGCCTCCACTTTAAAATCAATAAACAAAGAGGAAAGTAAACATACAAATTTCGTTTTTCCATCCTCTAAGATACAAATTGATTGTTACAATGACATTGACGTAAACAACCTGAAATATGACGTATTTCAGAAACAAAAGACAAATTTTTAAAGAGCGTAAAGAGTTTTGGTAAACAGGAGTCCTGGATTAGGTCAAAAGTTCTATATTAATTCTGTGAAATTTCATCGTAAATATGATTTGTTAGAGCGATTCGTAACGTTATACTTTCAAAGCACCGAGTGCCACATGAGCAATGCGGTGTCATAACATGACGCCGCGTACACGCATCGTTGCACCCCTCCCCACTTCGTCTTCTGGCCCCTTGTCCGATGCGCACGCGTTGCGTCGCCGCACGCCGTTTCAACGCACTATGTGGCATGTGGTTTAAATTTGTATGTAGAACGGTCGGTGCCCTCACTGGGGTATCTACTATTTGTACTAACTGCTATTCTGTATTCCCAGAGAAAGAGAGGAGTTATAAAGTCGTGTACTGCTCCTACGTTATCTGTCGTACGCCACAAAAAGAGGTGCTTTTTTTTTCCACAAATCCCTTTATTTTTATATAGGTATATTATGCTGACCAGTAAAAATGGTAAAGTAATAAAAACAATGCGTACGTATTAAATCCCATCAAGAATCTCAGGTGTTAATACTAATTTTTGTTCTTTCAATAAATTAAAACATTTCCTTTTAAAGTAATGAATTTGGGCTTATGATTCTTTACGTAGGAGAGATCGATTCATTACTATTGCCCTTTAGAGTCGATACAACTTCAAATGGCTTTGGTTGATTCCGCATAACAGGGAGTGTTGAATCAGTCACGTTCACGTTGGAAAAATATATAGGTAGTAAACTTGAAAATAAACATTTTACACAAAAAAACCGCTATATTCAATAGGTACTTTGCCAATAATTTTATTATATCAACTGAACTAAATAGAACACGTATAGTATACGATATACATTTTTCAAGTGGTTTTTAACTTCGTTTGTAAAAATATAAATTCTGAAATAAAGGCGTTGTCCCTGCGCTCGACCCAAGCAAAATGAACCGTATTAGTAAAAAATATTATACGTAATCTGGTAAACTTATAAGAATCAAATACTAACTTTGATGGCTTCGTTATTCAAATAATTATTTTACATTCTTCAACATGTGATAATGATCGCAACCAAGAAAATTGAGAAAAGAGTTATAGTAAATATCATGAATATATTTGCGAATGACTCTGTGTCGTCCATTTTTATTACGTTTTCAAATCTGTCGGTTTCATTAATTGTTTATGACTAAAAAGAAGGTGCTTCAACTATTATCGTAACTTTTCCAGTTTAAAATAAAGGCAAAGAGAAAACAACCAAGAGAATTCGGCAATAACTTTCAGCGTCATTCAACTTTAAAAGAGCCTTATTTATTTTGGAAGAAACATATGATGAAATTGAAGTTTCTTGGATGACATTATTTTTTTTAGACTTTAACAACGACTTAGGCGTGAAGCCACACGACCTTTTAAGTGACATTGACATGTCTATAGTAGCAGAAAAAAATAGTCACAAATTCAAAGCCGAGACAAGAAATAGCGTCAGATCAATCCGCTTGATTGGCTTGTCACCTTTTCCATCAAAATTAAGAAAAAATAGTAATACGCGAAGAAGCTTTATGGTACGTACAACCTTTAGCTAGGTCCCCAAATAAATGGGTGAAAACTTTAAATAAACTCCCATTGACTGGTATGTCTCAAATCATTGTTTATCATTTGTACCATGAAATAGAATAGAATAGAAATATGAAATTATTTGTTCCGTAAAAATTCAAAATATTTCAACCATTATCAGTACAGAGTACTAAAAAACCGACTTTAAATGGCATTCATCCACTGGTTTGCCACCCTTAGAGGTGGAATGTTTTCTTCAAATTTAAATGTTACCACTACTGAGGTACCGTCTTTCCAACAAAAAAAGAATCATCAAAATCGGTTCACAAATGCCAGCGTCATTGCGTAACATAAATACAAAAAAAAAACATACAGTCGAATTGCCAACCTCCTCCGTTTTTTAAAGTCGGTTAAAAATTCTAAATATTTCAACCAAAATTCTAAAACAATGATGACGAAGAACCTATAAATGTGTAGATTTGCGATATTAAGTCAAAGTCAACAACAGAAACCAATACTGTCAAACCAGAAATAGAACCTTTTTTTAAACTGTGTTACATAGTGTTCAGTGGACCTGGTACCAACCTCGCGAGTCCCTAACGTCTCGTAATCCATTAAAAGAGTGGTTATACTTGTCAAACTCATAGATAAGAGTCACTTGGTCAAAGCTGACTTACCTGCAATATCCCATAATTGGAGCCGAATGATCGTATTGGCGTCCCAGTTGAGAACTTTGAGTGCGAAGTCCACACCAATGGTGGCACGGTAGTGTTGGCTGAAGAACTGGTGCACATATCGTTTGATTATAGAAGTTTTTCCCGTGCCCAGTTCACCTATGACCAGAATCTTGTACAGATGCTCCCGACGCTCTGCACTCGGGGATGCGTGTGACTGCAAAAGAAAAAAATATTTAAGATAAAGATTTAGTGTTTATTTAATAATCTGAATTCAACGCCATACATTTTTTTAAGATACAAAATTTTGTATTCTGTAACAACATCTTCTTCTCCAACAGCAAGAAACCTTTTTCGTAAGAAAACTCAAACGATAATAAACACAATACCAAAGACAAAACGCTTAAAAATAACTCATATGCTACGTGTCGCAAAATGTTTATTGATCGCTATAAGCCACTTCCATTGAACAGTTTTAAAAAAGAGTTGCGTAGGTTAGATCCTTAGACTATGGAAACTTGTGTTTGTTTAGGCATACTTTGGTTACAGTAAACTAAAGAAACAAAAATTCAAGCCATACATTTGCATGTCGATAATGACTTATCGATAGATTATGGTACAACACTAAAGAAATCCGCCATTTGTAACTTTCAAATTTTGGTAATATGCACGTTGATTCTCTACTTAGGGCAGCTCCTTTCTTTTATTTTTTTTCCATCCTCTAAGGTTAGATCATTAATTTTATTTTACTCATTTGTCAATCTTTAGACCAACTGATTGATGCATACATTCTCTTTACAATTATTTATCTAATCTCATTGACTTATTGTAAGTCAATGTCTAATCTAATTAAATTATGACATTCACCATTATGGCATATCCTGTATCAATTAATTTAATTTAGTAATGTATTGTTTGTTTTTTATTATTATTTTGCATGCTTTTGTTTAACGCTGAATAGAAGTAAGTTTTAGTAAAATTTGTACCATAAGCATTTTTAATGTATGGACAACGGCACAACGGAACAAGATACGTCATTGTGTAGCTAGATGTGCTGGCGTGTGTACCTTACCCACTTTGAAGCGAATAAATGAATTTGATTTAATTTAAAAAGAAGGTATCGGAGTCGATCATTCCGATACATAACTTAGAAACACTTTTGAAATCTATTTTCAACACATATTCTTTTGAATCTGATACATCTCATTTTTAAACTTGTCCTATCTCTAAAGGAACTCTATTAATAAGCGCGTTTTCTCACTGCATCCGATTCTTACCGAATCCGAGACTATATACAAATCTAGAAAATTCGGACCCACTTTGGATGTCCTTTGTGCACTAAATCCGATTACAATCCGAGAAAATACGAATATTGCTTGTACACCTAGAGATAAAATGATTTCTGTGATATTTCGAACCGGCATTTCTTGAATACGGAACTGGGGGTCTACTCTCGATCTCCGTCCGAAACAATTACTGCCAATGAAACAATACTTGACCAAATGAAAAGACGCGTGATGCGAATGAAGCTTCATACTGGATACTTGTCTTTTAATTTTGTCCAATATTACTTATTTAACAGTAATTGTTTCGGACGGATGTCAGACGGAGATCGAGGGTAGACCCCCTGATACGAATCGAACGTAGTGCACATACTCTCTAACATTTTAGAAAATTTTTGCTCATTAGTACAGAAAACAATAAAAAAGCTATTAAAAAAAACGAAGATGAGCTTCGTATTTTTTTTAACCAAAATGCAAATTACTGGAAAAACTGTTGCTCAATGTATAAGGTCCATATTGATGTTTAGTAAGTACGTCATTTATTCTATAAAAGAATGTCATTTGCTCCACAAAGTATTTAAACCAATGGTGGTTATATAGAAAAGAAAGACAGATGATCTGGGTCGAGACTTTTTTATCAGATCAGACTTGTCAAATCGTTGACAACAATAACAAGTCACGTAATAGTTAAATGAATGTCATTCAGCTAGGCATATTATAATGGCACAACAGTTACACATTGACGGATTTGGCTTTTAAGTATAATATCATTGTACTTGACACATTACATTTTATATAGGCTGTTAGAAAAAATCACTAAGTATACCTTAGAGGATGGAAAAAAATACTGAACACGAACTAAAATGATTCCTGTGACACTTCATTTGACGTCTGTCATGCGATGAAGTAAAGTCGATAGATTTTTAATGTAGGCATTTGATTTATAAAGCAAATGTTCTCTGTTATAGTTTTATTTTTCTCACGTATTCTCTGAACAATGTATAAATGTACGCGTGTGTATTGAACTGTTTTGTATTATATTGAAGGCATTAAACACACAACTATAATTTAAATGCAATTTCTAGTACATTTCTGAAAATATTTATCACATCATTAATAGGTTTCAGAAAAGTAATAACACTGACATATCATTCTTCGCCTATGATTACAATTTATACAGAGTACACGCACCATAATTTGTAAAATTTAATTACCGAAAACTTTTTATCGATATACTTTATCTCTAGCAAACGCAGTGTAATGAAGTAACTTTGCACGTTGTCATAAAGAGCAAAAAATTAATTAATTTAAAAAAGTTATTCCGTTCATTTCTTACAAACAAACATTGATTAGGTGTTGGATCTTTACTTTAATTTAGTGTACTGGAACAAAAGCCATTCACTTAAAAGCGAGACTTATAAAAATAATTTGTTAAATACGTAAATTAGTGCACGCTGTTACAAGGTTATGTTTTGTAGACTTTTATTTATGAACCGTCACAGGGATCATCCTAGATTATGTTTAGTATAGCTGTTATTTATTTTAGTTATAAAAACGTAACGTATCATACTGTTCTGAGAAGAGCGTTATGTGCTATGACACCGCTATCATCGAACGCAACGCTACTTCACGCATCTTCGTAAAGCTTTTTTATTTTTGAAAGAATTTTTGATACACTATACATCTTTAATAGACTACAACCCGTGCCGAATAGTACCATTCAATTTTAGATTAGACAATTTATTTCAATGGAATTTAAAAAAGGAACGTTTTAATGAACTTATCTTGATCTCTTAATCTTAATCTCCTAAACGTTAAAAACAAATTGCACATCTCCAAAAACCATTTTAATATATTCTGCTCAACGATTAAGCATCATAAAAACTTGTATTTACAAGCCACTGGCTGCAAGTAAACCTCTCCAAAAATATATTACGGTATTAGAATACCAAAGTGACGGAACGAACAAGTCGTGCTCCTGGTGGTAAGCGTCACGTCTGTCCAACAGTTGCAGTGCTGCTCAGAGCTTGAAATCGCAAAGATCTGAAGGGCACTACCACTGCACCTGTCACCTTAAGACATAAATTTACAAGTTCCATGTGCCTGTAATTTCACCAGCACCCTTACCCTTCGAAACGGGAATGCAGTAATGCTCACATAACTGCTTGGCGGCAGAAATAGGTAAGGTGGCAGTACTTCCCTGGACGAACTCTTTCACAAGGAGCTTTTTACTTTTTGAACAAAATTTTTGAATTTTGTGTACGCAAATAAGTTTCGAACTATTCGACAAACTTGTATTAGAAGAAAATAAAAACAAATAAATGAAAAAATGACACCCGACATTTTTTTTCAAATTTAACGTAAAACAACATTCTTATGTCGTTGATATTCCACCTATTCGCACTAAGCGCTTTGCCTCCTCCTTTCTGATGCGTACGGCAAAGGAATGGAATGCTCTACTATCTGTATTTCCCGAAAAGTACAATTTGGGGCTATTCAAGGCTAGAGTGAATAGGCATTTTTTAGGCAAACGCGTCCCATCGTCGGTCACATCGTCGCTTAACATCAGGTGAGATTGTGGCCAAGCGTGTGTCTATTATATATTTAAAAAAAAAAAAAGAAATATCTGACCAGACTTTAAAAAAACATTGCACTATTTTGGAGATTTTTGCCGGTGCTCCCTTAAGTGTGCGTTTATATCGTATTATGACTTCGTTACTGTAATTCATAATTTAAGTAAACCGGTTTAACTTTGTGTCATAAATAATTACCATACATACATACCTAACAAGACCATAGCTATATCAGGTCAGGACGTCGCAAGCGCAGGTCAACTCATCAAGGCATTATCTGTTTGCGTAGTCACTCATTGACTTTAATTTATCAACGATCTTTATTAACTGCAGTATTTGCATCCTCAATTTGTTATTTGTTTTCGGTAACCATTGTTAAAAATATTATCTGTTCTAAATATAGTTTATATGACTGTAACTTCAAGAGCATAGATAGAAGACAGAGCAGAACCATTCCTTTAAAGCCTCAAACATCAAGTTACTTCGAATAATGTGTAGTTTAATTTTCTACATTTATCACTCGCCCAAAGCAACAGTACCCGGACACTGAAGTAGCTGGACATAACTGGTGAAATTACAGGCACGTGGGACTTTTCAACTTATGTATCAGGGTGACGGGCGCAGTATCAAAAAAGTAAAGGTCTGAGCAGCACTGCAACCGTTGGACAGGCGTGTAGCTTACCATCAGGCGCACGACTTGTGCGTCCCTTCACTTGATATTATAAAAAAAGACTTGAAACTTTCTTGAAATTGGTTTATAAAAAGTATTTTTAATTGTTTACAGTATTTTTATAACGAAAATGTTTAGATTTTTATTACGTAAAATATACAAAAGCTAAGCTACTAGAAAGTAATGCTTATTCCAATCAATAGCTATAATTTACTATACAAAAGGAAATAAGTGACGTTGACCAGAAACGCAAAAAAATAAACTTCACGTAATTAATTCAATCATGGTTAAAAATAAGGCACGCATTGTCTGTCTGATAAAAAACTGATAAGCAAATTGAACGACGCATTCATATTATGAAAATAGTAGTCTGTATGGAATTCCAAAGGCATTAACATTACACCCGGATGCGGACTGTCGATTGATCACATTGAAACTGTAGTCTTGTTTAACGTATTAGTTTTCTAAAAGCGAACCACATTGGAACAAAAAAATTATCGATGTTCCAGATAATTACATAGTTTCGACATGAAACTCGTGTTTGAATTTATTTTGATGAACGTAACGGATAAAATAACGGGTAAAAACTGAAGGTAGGCTTTCCAGTACCCCGGGCGATTGTACTAAACCTCTAAACGTAACGTACAAAGTATTTAATAATAAAATAAACCTAAAAATTGAACTCACTCCA